GTCCCATGGGAAAAATAATACCAACGCTGGCATCATACAGGTCAAAATAGGCCTGTGTGGCCCTCAGACCTAATGGCCAACAGCTTCTGGCAAGATCAGTACCACCAACAACCTAGCTATATAGGTCACCTGGTGTCTCCCTAATCCTAGGACCTGCTCCAACCAGAAGTGGGAGAAAGGCTGTACAGACAACAGTTCAGCCTCAACTTGTATCACAGGAGGTGGAGAGTGATGATCCAGGAGCTGGGGCTAAAGAGACCATGGTGGAAGTCTAACATAAGAACCCAGACCTGGAACTCGTTGGAGGGAGTGGCACAAGTGACTGCAAACACAGAGCCATGTACCAACTGCAATAAGTAAAATCGAACTGTAGATCTGTGAGTGACACAGCTCAAAAACCTGTTCCAAGGAGCAGAATCTGCTAACCAGAAGTACAATGACCAAGAGCAAAAAGAAGAGATGTAAGCACAATGAATATTACCGAAAACTCCCCTGTGAAGGAGCAAGTCTTTGCCAACCTCAAGGTTAACTGAGGAATACACTGAGAAAATGGGGGATAAAATTTCAAAACACTTGTTATAAAACTTCTTATCAACAACGAGAAGTGTGTAAGGCAGGCGTTCAAGGAATTTAAGGAATATGTCACATAGGAAATGAATCAAATGAAAGCTGATATATCAGAAATTAAGAATACAGTGGAGCAAATTAAAAATACAGTGGAGAGAGCCTAGCTCAGTGGCCTAGCAACTAACATCCTCACCTTGAAGGTGCACCAGGATCCCACATGGGCGCTGGTTCTAATCCCAGCAGCCCCACTTCCCATCCAGCTCCCTGCTTGTGGTCTGAGAAAGCAGTAAAGGACGGCCTAAAGCCTTGGGACCCTGCACCTGCACGGGAGACCCAGAAGAGTCCCTGGCTCCTGGCTTTGAATCAGCATGGCACTGGCCATGCTGGTCACTTGGGGAGTGAATCATTAAACGGCTCTTCCTCTCTATCTCTCCCCATCTCTACATATATCTGACTTTGCAATAAAAATAAATAAATCTTAAAAAGAAAAACAAGAAAAGGTACAGTGGAGAGTCTCCAAAATAGACTGAATGAAGCAAAAGAAAGAATCTCAGAATTGGAAGATATTTCCTCTCACCAGAGGGAAACAGACAAAGGGCTGGAAGCAGAGCTGGGTCAAGCTAAAAAAAGTTTTCAAGAATTGAAAGACACTATTAAAAGGCCAAATACAATAGTTATGGCAGCTCCAGAAGGTGAAGAAAAAAAAATCTGGGTTTAAAAATATATTTAATGAAATATTAAAAGAAAATTTCCCTAATCTGGAGAAAGAATTGGAAAACAACATCCAGGAGGGGCACAGAACTCCCAACAGGGTTGACCAAAAGCGATCTTCACCAAGACACATGATAATCAAGTTCTCTTCAACTGAACATAAGGAAAAGATCCTTAAAACATAAGGAAAAGATCCTCAACTGACATAAAGGAATGCCAATTAAATTCACAGATCTCTCACAGGAAACCCCATAGGCCAGAAGAGAATAGAGTGACATATTCCAGATTCTAAAAACAAAAAATTGACAGCCTGGGATAATGTACCTAGCAAAGCTTTCCTTTGTCTTTGAAAATGCAATAATAAAGAAAAGTTAAAAGAATAGGCCTCTTCCAAACCTGCCCTACAAAGGATACTTAAAGATATTCCCTTGGGCCCGGCATGGTAACTCACTGGCTAAAGTCCTCGCCTTGCATGCGCCAGGATCCCATATGGGCACTTGTTTATTTCCTGGATACTCTGCTTCCCATCCAGCTCCCTGCCTGTGGCCTGGGAACGCAACCAAGGATGGCCCAAAACTTTGGGACCCTGCACCTGTGTGAGAGACCTGGAAGACCGCTCCCCGATCCTGGCTTTGATTCAGCATAGTTAACACCGCCGTAGTGGCTGCTTGGGGAGTGAATCAGCAGATGGAAGATCTTCCTCTCTGTCTCTCCTCCTCTCTGCATACGTGACTTTGCAATAAAAACAAATAAAATCTTAAAAAAAAAAAAAAGTTGTTCTCTTGACAAAGAGAAATAGCACCCACCAAAACCAAATGGAAATGTGAAGAACATCCCAGTAAAATAACAACAGAAGACTAAATTAATTAGCAACCCATTGCTAAAATGACAGAATCAAATTACCACCCATTCATACTAACCCTCAATGTATATGGCTTAAATTCATCAATCAAATGTCATAGATTAGTAGACTAGATTAAAAACACAAAATCCACCTATTTGTTGCCTACAAGAGACATATCTCACCAACAAAGATCAGCGGAAACTGTATCTTATGGAATTTGGGGTTTTTTTTTAGTTCCATCTCTTTAAAACATTTTCTTCTCATTAAATTCTCCACTGACTCAAAGATCATACAGTAGCATCATTTTCTTAAAGAAGATTCTTGATTTTCTTTTTCATTTATTAAGCAACACATTAGTCATTCAGTAAAATGTTATTTAACTTCATGTCGTTTTTAATTCCTTTTTCTCCCCATTGTTGATTTTGTTTTGTGCCTTTTAACTCAAGGAGATGCATAGTAACTGTGTAAGGGAGTCTATCATATCCAGTAGCACGTTATTTAGCTTCACGGCATTGTAAATTTCTATTATTCTTCCTGTTGCTGATTTGTATTGTGGCTTTTCATTTAAGGAGATGTGTAGTAACTGTGTAATGGAGACTATCATACCAGATGTGAAGATACAATGTCCAGCTCAAAGATGGACTCCCAATGAAAATGCTAACTAAATAGGATGGCGGACTCTCTGCCATTGTCCATGCCCGCAATGATGGACATATGACTATACTATAGTAATAATATAGGGGAACTCAGTGTGGGGGTGAAGGGAATTGGGGAGGGGATAAGAGAAATCCCAGGACCTATGGAACTGTATCATAAAATGATAACAATAATTTTAAAGAGTAAAAAAAAAAAATAGCTAATTCTGTTCCTATATTTAAAGTACATGTGATGAGACTCCTGTCAGGAAAAAAAAAAGATCTGTGTAAGAGGCTAAAAGCCCGCATCACAGGACCCATTGTTTGTTATCGCATTGTATGCGAAACACGGCTCTGCCGCCCAGGACTCCATTCATTGGCTTATAAGGATCTTAATTTCTGCCTCAGCTCACCATTAGAGAGACAGCAGTCATCACGGCCGGCCAGCAGTGGCCACACTACTGCCCCATCCTAGCACTGTCCTTCTGCTCCCCGGTCTGGGGCCAACCAGAAGAGCCTCTGTCCACAACTTTCTCGTCAGAGATGGCCCCAGCTCCACTGCACCCTCAGGAGAGCGGTGGGGTGCCCAGGGCAGCCCATCCCAGCCAAGTAGTCCCGATGGCTAGAGAGGGTGTCAGGCCGTGGCCACTCCCCTGAGGCAGGACAAGGACAGTCCCATAGCCACATGGATGATGGTGCCCGTCGCACCCCCTCTGGGCACCTCCAGCACTGAAGAGGCAGTGAGGTTTGAGACCCCTTAATCCCTAAAGGCACTTCCTGGCCTGAGCATCCTCCCTGCTGCTGACTAAGACTGCCCCTTGGTGCCCAGCCATCCTCACACGTCCATGCTTGTCACTGACTGACCTGCTCCTCGGGGTCTCTGGTCAGGCCACCCCAGACCCTATCTCTACATGTTCCCCGCTCTGCGGAGTGGGCCTGGGAGCCCACTGCCATTTCTGTTACCTTGGCTGGAGGCTGGGGTCCTTCTCTGGGCCCCCTCCCTCAAAGCCACCACATTTTCAGCCCTCTGGTGGCCACCAAGGGGAATGCTGAGCCCGGGCTCTCCTCTCCCCACCCTTGGAGAATTCACTGCCGGACCCTAGACAGCCCACAACCCTCCTGGCTCTCATTCACCCCTAAACAGGGACAAGGCCATGTACGACAGTCAGAACCTCTTCCAGCTGTCCGTAAGAAGCCCACAGCTGCTCTCCGTCATACACCTCTGCTCCACCTCTCCCCTGTGCCCCACCCCTCCCCTCTGCTCCACTCCTGTGCTCCGTCAGAGTGTAGTGCAGATCAGAAAGCCAATGGCAGCCTGGGACACAGCTGGGACCACAGGAAGGGAGCAGTCCCAGCAAGGGCAGGACCTGGTCTGTGCAGCCCTGGTCCAGAGGGGACAGTTAAAACACCACAGGCAGCAACGGCAACAGCAAGGTGCCCAGCTTGCTCACGCTTCCACACACACGCAGAAAATCCAAGTTTAAGTGTCCTTCACATCCGGCTGAAGCACACAGTGATGTCAGAGCCAACTGTGACACGTCAGTCACCTGGGGCTAGTGCCTGCTAAAGACATTCCCCATATACATTGCTCTTCCTGCTGAACTCAGGAACTGAGCCAAGGTTTGCTGTAAGCAGCCATGTGAAACAGCACAACCTGGTCACAGGAAACAGCTCCAATTATGTGTTTTAGTAGTCAGGTGGAACAGGATGGGGACCGTGACACAGGATAATTTCCACTAAGCACGGGTTCAGATCACAACACTGGCACCACGATACTTCATATTGTTAAGGTTTACATGGACACACATGCGCAATGAGTCACAACGGAGATCAGCACAGCAGACACACGGTTCCCATGCCTGTCGATGCGGGGTCGTGCTGTTCCACCAAGGACACGTGAGCTCCGGGCGGCTGAGGCTGCGGGAGCTGCCTGCCCTCGCTGGGTTCAAGTGCTTGGTCTGCAAACAACCCCAAGCCTCAGGCCAGCTTCCACTTCACGGTGCTGGCCTCCGCTTTCCATGGCTCTGCAGACAACGAGACCCTCTTTAAAACACTGTCACTCAGCCAGAGCTGTGGGGAAAGATCACTACTGTCTGGCAACTCCAAACCCCACATGGACGGCCCCTCCCAGGCACCCCGAGCTAGGACAGTGAGGCCCCTGGCGCAGGAAGCAGGATGCTCAGCGCCCTCTCCTGCCCACCTCCTCCTGGTTGTTGACTTGAATGCCAGAATGCAGAGCCACACCAGGGCGGACCCACCGCACTGCTTGCCTGGTCCACGCGGCTCAGGCTAAGGCCACAAAGGGCGTGTCTGAGAAGCCAGAGCTCATGGAGTCCGCCTTCCCCCGAGGGGCCCTCAGGATGCCCTCGGCCAGGGTGGCCTCCCCGGGAAAGAGCGGGACTCTGCCGTTCTGCCCAGTCACTGCCTCTTTCAGCGGCTCCAGGAACACCACTCTCTTCCCGGCGCCAGCCCGGGGCTCAGCCACGCAGCCTTCATCGCTGGGCCGGGGACACAGGCTGGCCGCCTGCATGTTGCCCCGCGTGGGCGTGCTCCTAGGCCCGTTGGCTCTGCACTTGCAGGGGCAGGGCGTCAGATAGAGGTACAAGAGCACCAGGACGATGCTGGCCACACAGGCTGCCAGCGTGGTGAAGGCCGTGTTGAAGGCCTCGTGCGAGTGCGCCCTGCCGGCCGAGCTGTTGCTCACGGTGACCGTGACGTCCACGGACTCGTTCAGCAGGCGCTGCCTGTTCATGGCGATACACGAGTACACTCCGGCGTCCTCCAGCCGGAGGCTCTCTATCACCAGGCTGCCGTTGTAGAACACGTGGAAGTTGTCTGTGGTCCGGCCAGGCTCCAGCAGGCGGCTGTCGGGGCCCACCCAAAGGAAGTCCGTGTGCGCAGAGCCAGCCTTGTCGTCGCAGTGCACCACCAGCCTCTGCCCCACCTGGGCCTCGTGGATGAAGCCCAGCGCGTGGAAGGAGCCATTGGCACCGCCCACCGAGCAGTTCAGGAAGCTCTCGCGCAGGAGCCGCACCTGCTGGCCCGACCCGACTCCCGCCGCGATGGGGCGGCAGGTGTAGTGGTCCTGGAACTCCACCACAGCGCTGAAGTGCCTGCGGTACCACAAGACGAGCAAGGAGTGCAGGGCGCAGTCACAGACGAAGGGGTTCCCGTGGAGGTAGACGCCCCGCAACTGCCTCCCGGGTACCAAGTGCATGTGGTGCACAGGCAAGGCGGTGATGCGGTTGTAGGACACGTCCAGGAACGTGAGCGCCGCCAGCTTGAACCTACCCAGGTACAGGCCCACAGGGAACTGTGTGAGGGTGTTGCCGCTCAGGTACAGCCTCTGCAGGCGCACGAGCCCGCCGAAGGCCGATGGGTCCAGGCGAGAGATACGGTTGTCATAGAGCAGCAGCACTTCCAGTGCCCGCAACTCCTGGAACGTGGCGTCCCGCACCACCTGCAGCCTATTGGAGGACAGGTCCAGGTTCCGGACGTTGGGGATCGTACCGAAGCTGCCTGCGGAGATGCTGGCGATGTAGTTGTGGCGCACGACTAGGGTGCTGAGCTGGAGCAGGGGCGCCGGGATCCACTCCGAGTCCAGGAGTCCAATCCGGTTATAACTCAGGTCCAGCCTCCGCACGAGCCTGAAGAGGTTCGCGGGCACCTTGGACAGATTCCTGTCGGTGCAGCTGACGACGTCGGTGGCGCAAGTGCAGGCGGCGGGGCACAGACCGGACGCGCCGGGGCGCACGGCCGCCGTCACCGCCAGCAGGCAGAGCAGCCCCCGGCAGCGCGGGCGCGCGGACATGGTGGCCCCGCAGCTCCTCCGGGCGCTGCCGCGGCTCTGCCCCCACGGCGAACCTGAGACGCTCAGGGCGGGACGCCGCCGACCGCCTCCGAGACCCTGAGCGCCACGCCCCGCCATCCGCCCGGGGAACTTTGATCTTAGAAAAGGTCGAGAAGCGATCCGCCCGGGGAACTTTGGCTACGGGTTACAGCCGCGGGGGACTCCGGGGCCTTCCCGCCGCCCGACCCGTGTGTCCCAGGCCGCTCCAGGCAGCTGTGCTAGCCGGCGGCCGCCAGCAAACGCCAAAACACGAGAACGTGGCCGTAAACAGCCGCGCGGGAACGCCCGCCGGCCACCGCGCGGGAGACACTCACTCCGCAAGCCGGAGGCGAGGAGGGTCCGGACGCGTCCCCGCTCTCGGCGCGGCCCGAGTTCCCGAGGAGGTGGCTTCCTAGGGTCGTGGCCGCAGCGCTGACGGCACCTTTCTCCCCACGGTGCCCAGGTACGGCCGGGCTCAGGTAACGCCGGGTCTGCGCGCGCCGATCCGCCTGGGGCCGATTGCAGGAGCCCGAGGATCCGCTAGCGGACAGCCGAGGGCGAGCGGGTCCGAGCGGTCCTGCGCCGCGCGCTCCGAGGCTCCCGGGCCAGGTCCCTCCCGCCCCGCGCCTCCTCCCTCCCTCGCGCGGGACAGGCTCCGAGATGGCGGGCGGGGCGCGGGGCGCGGCCAATCGGAGCCCCCCACGCCCCGCCTCCCGACCCCCTCCTCCGGGCCCAGGCTGCCCGGCCGAGGGCTCGCCCGCCCCAACTGGGTGGGGGACGGTCCGGAAAGTTAAGGGCTCTCCGCGCCCTGGGGACCCCGCAAGTCCACGCACCCAGTCCGCGCTGGGGGCGTCCACTGCGAGAAATGGCGGGCGGGGACATTCCTCCACACCGACTCCAGGAGCACTGGTGCGGGGAAGGGGGCAGCGACTCAGCCCTGCCGACCTCGCCGTCCCTCCTGAGCCAGGTGCAGGCGGCTGGTGGGAGCTGGGAGGGACAGACCGGGTCGCAGCAGCGCGAGGGCTAGGAGATCCATTGGGGCCGCAAGTCTAACGAGATTTGGGAGTTTGGCCATCCCATGGGAACTAGAAGTGCATTACTGCCGCCAGCAAAAGCAGGGCCGGTGACCGGGCACCTCCCTGGCGGCCTCTTGCCTGCGCTGCACCTCTTCTGGTTCTCCCCGCACAGAGGCAGGTCCGAGTTACTCAGGGGGGTGGACAACCAGGAAACCATGAAGGCTGCAGGCAGACGGAGACACGCAAGCCACCCCCCTCTGTGTGTTCCTGGCAGACCTGTGACTCCAAAGCAGAGGACTCTACCTCCAGGCTAGGCTGGGTTAGAGCCGAGAGGGAGAAGGCCTTGACTCAACCTTACTGACAAAGCAAGGTAGGGTCTTGTTTGTAGAATATGAGGCTTAAACTACCTGAAAGGCACAGTAACAGAGAGGGGGAACCATGTTTGGGGGAGCATTTCCCATCCCCATAAGGCTGCAACAGCTGTGAAAACTGGTCCAGACAAAGCCTGGAACCCCATCAGGGTCTCCCACGTGAGCACAGGAACCCAAGCACATGGGCCATCTTTCACTGCTTTCCCAGGCTCCTTAGCAGGGAGCTGGATGGAAAACGGAGCAGCCAGGTCTGGAGTCAGTATACTGCCGTTGCTGCAAGCCCTGGCTGAACCTCCTGTGTCACAGTGACAACAGGAAACTGTGACTTACAGACTTCCCTCTGGCACGTGACTTCTTGGGGCAGCAGGCTCTCTGCCCTGGCCACTTCTCCCTCGCAGCATCAGCCAGCACTGTGTGGCTCCAGCCCTTGTCCCCAGGGAGGCCGCAGCTGCGCTCCTGACAGTTTGATGGTGGGCAGTATGCAATCGCTTTGAGTTCTTTGAAGGCTGTATGTGACACACAAGTTCTTGCAGGAAAAGGTCGCCTGTGGTGGCTTGCCATGGCAGAGGGGAGAGCTGCTTCCCTAACCAGCTAAGGCCTTTCTGAGCTGCTCAGTCTGCTGGCATTTTGGACCAGTCGGTGATATGTCCAGGAGCAGCAGGCCAGGACTGAGCTGGATACTGAGACAGGTGTGGCCGGGGAGTGACTACTGTTCCCAGCAGGGAGCACTGGGCAAGATCTCGGAGTCTTCCCCCACATGCCTCCCAGGAACCCCAGGAGCTAGGAGACAGCGGCTTGTCACAGCACAATGCTGAGGAGCTCAGTTTGCCAGTCCTGCTGCCTCTGGCCTGCATCCTGCCTTAGGGCGCTTGGCCTGCTGGGCAGCAGCCCTTCCAGGGTGCACTGAACAGCACCTGCACCTGCTGTGCTGGTGGGCTGCGGGAAACTGCCCAACACCTAGTGTGGTGGAGCCATCCTCTCACTGCCAGTGCACATCTGCCTCAGGTACGCCTGCTCTGAAATTCACAGATGGGAACCGCACTGTATGTCTGCCTTCTCCCCGCCCCCCTGCAATGTTCAGGTTTGGGTGAGGACGCCAAGGGATGCAGACTACCACAATCATCCCACGAAGATCCCACGGAGCTGAGATCTCACTTACAGTGGGATCTCATACGCCCAGCGTGGTGGCCTAGCAGCTAAAGTCCTTGCCTTGCATTCGCCAGGAGCCCATATGGGCCCTGGTTCTAATCCCAGCAGCCCTGCTTTCCATCCAGCTCCCTGCTTGTGGCCTGGGAAAGTAGTTGAGGACGGCCCAAAGCCTTGGGACCCTGCACCCACATGGGAGACCCGGAAGAAGCTCCTGGCTCCTGGCTTTGAATTGGCACAGCTTCAGCCATTGTGGTCACTTGGGGAGTGACTCATGGGATGGAAGATCTTTCTGTCTCTCCTCCTCTCTGCATATCCAATTTTCCAATAAATATTTTTAAAAATGGGATCTCACTTAGAATGTGGTCACAGGGCCTCCGGTACCACATGCCCATCCTTCAGCTTTGACCCCATGGCACAGCAGTAAGGGTCCTGCACGAGGCCCACACCCTGCTCCACAGTTCCTGGGTCCAGCCCTGGCTCTGCTCCGACCTCGGCTTCCTGATGACACACATCCTTGGGGTCCTAGCCATCAAGAGTCTGGGTTAACTTTCTCTCTCTGAAAAATATAGAGAATGTTTAACAAACCCAGTTTGGAGAACTATATGAAACATTCAGACTCATGCTTTATGTCCTTAAGAATCAGATTTCCTGTAGCAGTAATTAATTTATCATAGCTTTATAACAGTGAATCTAATTATTCAAAGTAATATCTGATTTGATGCAACCGTTATTCTCTAGCATGAACACAAAATGAGATGGAGAAAGAACCTGTGTCCCACTGTCACAAGATTAACACAGACCCCTGCTGTCAGCAAGCATAAGGTCATCTGCCCTTGAACTCTGACTTTTCTGACAGTGACAGCACGGAGAGTCGGCCATCAGCAGAACAGAACACGGACAGCATCTCAGGGTCCCGGGCTTCTCCCCTGACTCTCACAGGGCACCGAGAGATGGCCACAGCAGCCCCACCTGCTAGTGAGAGCCAGGGCATATACCCAGGACTAGTGGTGGGGCAGGGTTTCCCACCTGTCTGCCCTGCCCTTGCCTTGGACTTCCACATCAGCTCAGTTTCCTGTGCAGAGGTGAAGGTCAGCTGTGTTTGATATTAGGGCTCACAGTACAGAAGCTCGTGTGGCAGTTGCCCATCAGCAGTCCACGGGAAAGTCTGAGATGGACACAGGACAGAATCCAACTCCAAACTGGGTAATCGCTATCAAAAACATGTAGTTTCAGGCCCAGCACGATAGCATAACAGTTAAAGTCCTCGCCTTGCATGCGCCGGGATCCTATATGGTCTCTGGTTCCAATCCCGGCAGCACCACCTCCCATCCAGCTCCCTGGGCCTGTGGCCTGGGAAACCAGTCGAGGACAGTCCAAGGCTTTGGGACCCTGCACCCATGTGAGAGACCCGGAAGAGCTCCTGGCTCCTAGCTTCAGATTGGCTGATCTCCAGCCATTGCAGCCACTTGAGGAGTGAGCCATTGGATGGAAGATCTTCCTCTCTGTCTCGCCTCCTCTCTGTATATCTGCCTTTCCAATAAAAATTTTTAAAAATCTTAAAAGAAAAAAGCATGTAGTTTCAAGCCCCAGCAATTCCAGATACAAATAGAATTTTAGCATTTTAGATTTTAGTCATGGTAAACTGGATGAGTTCAGAATCAGAGTCCTTGCTTAATTCCCCAAACTTGCATCTGTCAACTGGGTTCCCTGAATTGGGAATCCCAGCTTCCCCATTTCGAAAAGACAAAGGCAATAGACAGATGAAGAAAATGCTTCAGGGACCAAAGAGCCATGAGTCTTGCCTGACAACCATGCAGCGGCATGGCCTGCCGCAGACTGTGGACAATGCCTGTCTGTCCGGTGGACATGGCTTGGTTAGATGCAGCATCTATTTACAAGGCAACTCCTTGCATAGTCTGCACTGGTGCTGGGAAGCCCAGTCAGCCTGGCCCTAGGGTATCTCGACTGGTCTGCACATGCGCAGACGTTGGTCAGGAGCAGTGAGCCGCGCTGTCACTGCCCTCAGATGAACGACAGAGGAAGCTAACCCAGCCCACATCCACTCGCTCTCCTCAGAGAGGCCAGGACCATTACAGAGAATGTGCAGGGCCAAGCCTGCCAGGCGCTTGTCCACATCCAGCCCGGAGTAGGATTTCTATCTGCTCAATCAGATTTATTAAAACTCTAGCTCTGCCCTAAATTCCCTTTGTCAGGAAGGCACTGAGTGTCTGGCGCCACAGCCACGGCCCTAAAAACATGTCTGCAAGCTGAGCACAGGCCATGTAGGGGTGTGCACAGTCCCCCCGAGAGGCCCCACAGCTGCCCCAGAGGCCCCATAGCCCCCCGAGAAGTTCCACAGCCCCCCACATCCGCCCAAGAGGCCCCACAGCCGCCCCAGAGGCCCCACAGCCATACCACAGAGGCCCCACAGCGCCCCGAGAGGCCCCACAGCCCCCCGAGACCCCACAGTCATCTGAGGTCCTACAGTCATACCACAGAG